AACAATTAAACATTCAATTAACAATTAAAATAAATATTAAATAAACAACTAAACAATTAAAGTAAATAATTTAAATACATATTTAAATATTGAATAAATAATTTAAATGAACAATTTAAATAAATAATTAACAATTAAATATTAGATAAACAATTTAATTGAGTGAAGTAACAATGGCACAGCTAGTTGACATATTTAGGGAATGCGACAATATGTTTGACAAGTTGAAATTAGAGATAGTGTTTATACTGTAGAGAGCATACTGAGGGTCATCACAAGAAGATGTCGATCAATGTATTTCATTTGGAGGTTGTTGATGACATTGATACATTTAACAACTATCCCTAGAGACAAAGATGACAATTATCGGCTTTTCTCGACGATCCTGAGGCTCGTATATTCATTTGTGATTTTATGTTGTATGTCATTTCGAAAACTCGATGTATGATCATTAACTTGGTGAAATATGTCAGCTTGAAGTGCTCACTAAGCTGACATCGTTGATCGAGGAGGAAGGTCAGAGTCATATTCGATGAGATACAATCAGCAGGTGATGGGGGTCTCAGATAGTGACAGAGAGGGTGGCGAATATGGTGACTAGGAGGGTAACGATGAAGGGGTGGGGATGTACACAGATGTTTCATTAGAATCGTTATAGATGTCAGTGGGAATGGGAGAGGTGTCAGTGGAGGGGACGAAATAATTATAATAATTGTATTTATGAAATAATTGTATATTTTTTTTATTTATGAAATAATTATATATATTGTAAAATTTATTTAAATAAGGTAATTAAATATTACATACATAATATACCCAACCAATTAAGATAATTTTTAAATAAAATATCTAAATAGGAAATTAAATTAAAATGTTAATTTTTATTTAATTAAGTGATTAACTAAATAATTAAACAAAGTAATTAAACAATAAATAAATAACATACACAACTAATTAAGACAATTAATTAAAGAAATATTTAAATAAGACATTAAAATAAATATTATTTTTTATTTAAATAAGTGATCATTTGAATAAAGTAATTAAATATTAAATAAATAATATACATAACCAATTAAGATAATTAATAGAGAAATATTTAAACGAGAAACCAAATTAAATATTAATTTTTTTATTTGAGTAGGTATTTAAAATAAATAATTAAGTAAGGGTCAATTAAGATAATTAATTAATGAAATATTTAAAAGAGAAATCAAAATTAAATTTTAATTTTTTTATTTGAATAAGTGTTTAAAATAAATAATTAAATAATTTATTAAATATACATAATCAATTAAGATAATAAATTAATAAAATATCTAAATGAGAAATCAAATTAAATATTAATTTTTTTTAAGCAAGTGATTAAATAAATAATTAAATAAAGAAATTAAATATTAAATAAATAATATATATAACCGATTAAGATAATTAATTAATGAAATATTTAAACAAGAAAGTAAATTTAATATTAATTTTTTTAATTTGGGTAATTGTTTAAAATAAATAATTAAATATAAAGTGAAAAGTGTTTGATTTTTTAATTTGTAACTTAAGGGTATTTTTGTCTTTTGAAACAAAATTCTATTTTTGTAATTGTATAAACTACTTAAGGGCATTTTTGTCTTTTACTCAAGAAAAGGCCATTTTGACTATGGACAAATATTTTTTGGTTAAAGTGAAAAATTGCTATTTTGACTAAGCCAAACTAAAAATTACCCCGCCCCCCCCAACCTTTTGGCGGCAAGGCGACCGAATGAAATTTTGGGAGTAATTTTAGTGAAGAAAATCGAAGAAATGGCAGACATATGAAGCTAGAATTGCCAACGGCCCAACGTTTTTGCGGCTCGTAATATCATCTCCTCAAAGGTACTACTACATATATATTTGCAGGCAGACATATGAAGCTAGAATTTTTTTAAACAATAAAATGAAAACTTGTTTACTGATGAAAATATTGTTTGATCGTCGTTACATCCAAGTGTTCCTATGTTTGTTTTGTTCGTGAGGAAAGCTAGCTAATTCAAGTAATTTTTTGGGTTCCGGGTTCGCCTTTTTTTTGGGTAAATAGGTTGATTGATAGTATTTTGTTTCAGCTGTATTGTCATTGCTAAATTTGGAATTTATATTTTTGTCAAATTGTTGATAAGGTGTGGCTCGGTTTTGCTAAAATTCCTTGGGGAGTTCTAAGGTGGTGAATCTTGAATTTGTGGCATGTGTTGAGCCATGTTTCCGGTGTATTGAGCAAGGAAAATTTCACCTAGGAATAGCAAATCTTAGGCCAAGTGGGTGTGAGCAATTCAACCCTAATACCAAGATCTTTAGAATTTTTGATCAAGAAACATACCTTGATCCAGAGCAATTAATGAGAAGATTTGAATCTGCAAATAAGAAAAAAGAAAAACAAAGACAGTTCTCTCTTTTCCTCTCTGTAATTGAACTTAATTAATTTGATGGTTTATTGACGTTTATAGGTAGAGAGATAGTTTCTCATGAGCCATAAAAAACTACCAATCTTTCATGAAAGAGTGCAGCTATGAAACTGCCACTTCTCAATGGGTCAATTGAATTTTAGAAATATAAAACCATTTCAATTAATTCTTTAATAATACTACATTGCCAACAATTAATTGGTCTTACATTGGGTGCGAGCATTGAGATAGGAAGCGTGTATGGGAAATTAGCCTTGAGGAAATTCTCAGGTCCTCAGGTAATGGAATGAGAGAGGCTGGCTTCCAGGATGCGAGAGAGTAGAGATAGCTTTTGTTGGTCTAGAGAAGGTGTAAGGCTTGAATTTGGGAATAAGTCACCATGTAATGTGTAGTCATGTGGATATTTTTTCAGTCATGAATGGAAATCTCTTTGTTAATGAATGTTGTGTTTGGCTGAGCTGAGTAGCATCAGTAAATTGTGGGTGCACTTTTCATTAAATTGCTGGTATGTGGTGTGTAAATTGGATTCAGTGTTCTTGTTTGTTTTCATTGAATCCAACAAGCGGTGTGAATAGTAACAGTCGTGGCCAAGAGTGCAGATCTAGTTTTAGTAGCATGCACAGGTTTGAGCTCTTGGTTCAATGTTTCAGAAGGATAGAAATTTGTTAATGTCTTGGAATATTTGATAACTTCGATGGATGGATGATGAATGCCCCAAAGGTTTCTCTGTTACAGACAATATGAGACATGAGCGGGTGAAGAGAAGTATTTAGGGAGATGATAAACGGTGCACAGGGGTGTTGGATCTGGATTTGGGAATTAAATGTCTAATGGATTTATACTTGTACGTACAATTTCTCTCACAATAAAAGAATGGAAATCCCTGGTGACAGCCATTTTTACTGAATTACATCATTTTTATGGATGCAAATGTCTTTATTATCACATTAAGTTGCTTATGTGGTGTTTAGATTGGATTTTGATTACAACTCAGTAGATGTTTTTCTACATAATCTTAACAGAGCAGTGAATTTAATCCCATTTTTGAGTATAATAATATGTGCAACTTATCTCTTTTAGGATGCGTTATCATTAACTGAATTCGAGTTGATGGAATTTTTGGATGTGGGATTGGTTGAAGTAACACTGGCACTAGCACATATTAGTGAAATTTCAAGTCCGCCCTATCTGACTGTAGGTATATGGTTGTAGAAAGTATAAATGAATTTCGTTAACATTCAATCACCATAAGCTTACCAGGGACTGTATTGTCCGTTCTTACCAAAGAATGGTTCGTTAATTGTGATTGTAGGCTTTGTCATTGCTGGAGCAGTGCATCCAAAATGAATACTTGGCTGGCTATTTTCCCACACGCTTAAAGGGACTTGATGTGGCCCTTTGTGGTGGAATACCATTTGGTGTTGTAACAGAGTTGGTTGGTCCTGCAGGGACTGGCAAAACACAGGTAAATAATAATATTTGCTTCCATTTCTGTATGTGTTTATTTACTATATTATTTCTGATTGATTTTCTCTCAGATTTTGAATTATAATATGGGGCTTAATTTCTTTTCTCAGTTAATTTATTTTGTTGGGTTCACGTATGGCGTTCTGTTTTACCACATTTTTGTTTTCTATCGAATTAGATCTGATATAATTATTTGCATGACCTTTAATTGATATTTGTTATCTCAAAAACTGCAATCTCCATTTGTTCATTTTGATCAGGCTAATCTCATGGCGCTTCACCAGGAAAATGTTATGTACACTGTCTTTTTCATATTGGCTGAAGTTTGGCAAATTATGTTTCTCGAACAGCTGATTAGTCTGATCTAGACCAATTCAGCTCTGCAACGGCCATGCATTTGACGCCAATATTTCCAAAATTTTTCCTCCTAAATATGCAAGTTGCCGACGGGTCGAGCAAATATCATTGATTTTGCCAAGATATCAAAGTGACTTTTAATTCATTTTGAAGCATGAAAACCTGTTTTGATACAACTAATTGCAGAATTTAACATTCTGTGCTTAGATTGAATATCACTTGGTCTCTCATTTATCCTCTGTGTGGTGATAAGAATTTTTATTTTATTTATTTATTTATTTTTTTGTTGAGCTGATCCATTTTTATTCTTTGCAACTATAGTTTTTCCTGAAGCTTGCATTACTAGCTTCCTTGCCTTCTAACTAAGGAGAATTTGATGGCCGTATGATATATATTGATGTGGGATCGAAATTTATTTCAAAAAGGCACCTGTTGATCCGGCTAATATTAATTTCAGTGCTTTACCATAAATAGACTGTCAGAATCTTATAGTCATACACTGCCTTTTTTTTTCAGAATGATAGAAATGGGGGTTAATAATTTCCTGGAAATTTTCACACTGAAGGAATAACGAAAGAGGTAAGCATGCTAGTGTTCAGTAATTTGTCTTTCTCAATTCACTCCTTGATGCTTGCGATGGGTATGAGATGATATAAATGTTTTGGCTCTTTTTATGCGGGCACAAATTAACCTAGAACCAAGTTTGTATATTATGTTAAGGGCAGTTATTTTAGTCAGATCAAGAATCAGAACATCAATTTCGAATTTGACCATAACGCTCATATCCTATGTCTACTGGGGGCATGACGATCATTTTTGTGCAAATAACTTTTTGTCAACTTATTACTTCCAAACATGGGCATTACCAAAATGCAGAGGCCATAGTTTAGGGACCAATTAGGAATTTTCCTCATCCCTTTTTAATTTTACAAGATTATATGAGGATTTTACTTGCTTTTTCCTCCATTTTCTTTCCCTCCCCAAAGAAACAGTAAAAAAGAAGGGAATTCAAGCACATTTTCAAAATGAGAAAAGCTGAGTTCAAAGAAAAAAAGCCATGAGTGATACAATCCTTTCAAAAGATCATCTTGTAGGACATATGTTTTTACTAAAGTTTTTTTCGTTTTTACTAAAGTTTTTTTCATGTTTCAGATGGCAGGTGGAATCCTATTTTTGCAGCCAGCATCATTAACTAAATTCACTGAAAGGTGCAGAATGGTACCATCTTTTATGCCTTTTTCCCAAGTACAGGTCAAACTATCTATATAATTGGAAGGAAAAGAAAATGGTCGGATACACTAGTGGATAATCTGGAGAGAGCATACTGAATGAAGACAACTTCCACTGAGTCTGTTTTGTCATTTGCTTCAATACTTGGACTAGAACTCTCAATGGATAATGAAAATCGATAACTTTGATCATATACTTATAAAATGACATTAACCAATTGGAAATATTGAGGGTTCATGTGTAAATTTTATATTCCTTCGTAATTGATGCCTGAGATCAATGAACTGCGCCATGCTATCCAGAATTCAGTAGTCCAAATAATCTCAGCATAGTAGGTTACCGTGAACATGATATAGTATTTTTTGGTGAATGGTATGAAAGCAGTGGTTGTCAAACCCATGCACATCCACAGGAGTACTTTCCTCATAAGCTGAATGTTCTTACAATGCACCTCCCAAGAGTCATTTTAGTTGGGCTAAACAGCCAACTAGTAGTAGGCATTGTACACCAGGATTTATGGTCCATGATGTGATGGAATTAATTGTCAACTGTGAGATCCCACGAGAACGAGAAAGTGGATACAGTTTTTTCAGTGTGGTTTAGGAATACTATGTAACTGGTTGATGTCTTTTTGGACAATGGCTTTAGACCATGTATTGCGCCTGTGGGCCCTATTGAGCAGGTCACGTTCGCAGCATTTTCCTCAACCTTGGGCGTGACATCTGGATCAATTGGCGACTGATTATTTAGTTTTCAGACAGTTCTGTAATCAAGGGAGAAAGAGAATGAAGGAAAAATTAACAAGAATAAAATTGGAGCTTTATCACATTCTTGGCTATAGCTTGTATAGATTCTTGTAAACTTCCTTTACACTATTTCTGACTTTCTTATATTCAGTGAGATGATTAACTTGTCATGGGTCTGATTTTTTTATCATACAATTATGTTTTTAAATCAGCTTGCAGCAGATCTATGTTTCAGTCCAAAATCATGCAAAGCTTCTTATAATCAATAGCATGACTGCTCTTGTTTCTGGGTGAACTCCTTTACTTCCGTTTCAACGTGTGTTCACAAGATTTTTAGGCCTCAAGTTATTAGCTCTCCAAGAGATTCATATGTTTTACTTTTAGCCTACTAGTCACTTTGTTTCTTACTTATAAGTAAATAAATGATTTATTTTGACAACAAGGGAGGATAACTGACAAATACGAAACAAGCTTTTAATTAAAGAATAACTTCCTTCAATAATTTAATAGAATCACTACCTATAACCTAATCCCATCTCAATCTCTTTCTGAATGTCAACCCTCTTCTATTCCCATAGCTGACAGCCCATCTCTCTCTCTTTTTTTTCTGCTTGTCAGTAAGGTCTCCCTTCTTTTCTCTGTCCTTCCCCATCCCGTTCTAAATGTAAAGATTTTACCATTCTAAATGTTCTACAGTGCAAGTTTTCATATCCGATGTGAAATTACCATCTTATATATTGTTTGTCAAAGACGGACACATACATTGTATATTCTTATCCTCGTTTCCAATGCTGAAGGGCTTAGCATTATTACATGCTTAGAGTTAGGTGGTTGTGAGCGTGTTATCTTAAAACAACTCGGTGATTGGTTTCCACTTACAAGCTAGAATTTAGCTGTAGCGGAAATCTCTCGATAAATTTTGATTCCGGGCTTAGAAAACAATCAAACGAACACCAGTTTATCCTGACTCGACCCGAGACTTTCGCCTTCACTTTGAACTGCTCTCTTTCTCTCTAACCCTACAAAGAAGAAAGGTGGTGGTGTTAGTAATCCACAAAGGTACGGAGAGGAAGAAGGAGATATCACAATGGTTGAATCTTACTCACAACCTCACATGACTTCCCTCTCTCTCGGCTGCCTCTCTTCTCTCAACTCTCCTCTCCATTGCTACAACACACACACACACCAAAACGGATGGGAGATAAATACATATATAAAGATTAGTTTAGGTCCCCAAATATGGGCCAAGAGATCTCTAAGTGGGCTGCCATATAACCTAAACTAATGGGCCAATTTCCAACTTTATATTAATTACTAAATGGTCTAACTAACCAAATAATCATCCAACTCAAACCCTAGCCATCCAAAAGTGTAGTTCGTGTCCGAGCCGAGCCAAGTCCATGGTGTCGATAAATAATCCAACAACTGTTTTAAATCATTGCCCGGATTATTGGGTATCAAAAAACCCAACACTAGCATTTTCTTCACAGTTAAAGCAAATGACAATATATTATCTTCAAATCATCTTCTTCAAAATATCTCGGTTTTTTCCGGTGAGAATGGGCAGGGACCTCCTGGACAGCATGCTTTGGGTTGGCATATCTCATTTATCAAGTGAGATTTTGTGGAAATATTGATCTTCTTGCTTCTCTTATCCCAATTTTGACTTTGTTTATAGTTGATATTCTTTCTTTGCACATTCAGATCACTTGCAGAATTTTCTCGAATTCCTGTAGTGGTGACTAACCAAGTACGATCTCAAGGCCATGATGAAACTTCCAGATAGTTATTCCAAGGTATTATTTCTAAAATATGCTGTTGAATTCTCTCTAAACTACTATAATATTAGATGTTGTGCAGTTCAAAACAGAACTGACAATCCAGAAGATCTGACGACCTTTGATTCTCATCTTGTTGCTGCTCTGGGGTATCAGTGGCACACGCGGTTTCTCTTCGTCTTGTGCTTGAATCTAGATTGTTATTGTTGTACCTTACTTTGGGTGTAACATCTTTGAAGTTTATGCTGCACGATCTTATGCCAAGTTATGTTTTGCATGAGTAATTAGTTATCCATTTATTTATGTTTCCTTATCTTGGAATGCATTTTCCCTGAATGCCTTAGCGTACTTTTTGTTAATAGGGCAGCATTATTTCTCAAATATTGTGCTGATTGAATTTTAACGTATAGAGAAGATGGCTGATGTAGTTTCTATGTATAGAGATAATATGGCTGATCTGGTTTCTATGTATAGCGGGTAAATATGGTTGTATATATTTCATTTCCTTTCCTGTACCTAACTATATCTATATAATAGAAAACCTACCTCATTGAGGAGGGACTTCGAATCAAATTGACATGGTATCAAAGCCTCCTAGTTTTTCCTCAGTCTGAGTTCCCTATTCTTTCATAGCCTCTAGTCCTCTCAGACATTCTTAGTTTTTCTTGTCTCCCACGGACAGAGTTCATAATCAGTGTGTTGGGTTCACAGGCAAGAACTACACCACGTTGGAATTTCAGTTTGAGACTTACCTTCGCGGTAAGGATCTATGGCATCATATTGGTGGTTCTCCTGTCTGCTACTGTTGCGAAAGAGAAAGGATTGCAGGACACTTCGAGTGCGACTTGGGCTGTCCAAGATGCCCAAATTCTCTCTTGGATTCTTGGCTCTATGGAACCTCAGATTCTTCTTCATCTTCGACCTTACAAGACTGCCAAAGAAATTTGGCAATACTTCCGCAGTGTCTATTACCAAGATAACTCCGCTTGCAACTTTCAATTGGAATTAGATATTTCTCATCTGTCTCAAGGATTGCTGTCCATTCAGGATTATTACTCCCAGTTCATGAGTCTTTGGGCTGATTATTCAGAAATTATTTTGGTTGATGTCTCAACTGCTGCACATGCTGCTCTTCAGACCGCTCATCTCAACAGAAAGTGTAGTCAATTCTTGATGAAACTATGGCCTGAATATGAAGCTGTTCGCTCCTCTTTATTGAACCGTTCCCCTCTTCCTTCCTCAGAGGTTTGCTTTGGAGAACTTCGCAAGGAGCAGCGCTTGGCCACTCAAACCAACCTACAAGATGCTGGTTCTCCTCTTGTAAGCATGGCATATGCTGCCCATGGGAAGCCTCGTACTACTCGTGATTTCAGCATGGCACAATGCTATTCTTGCAAACAATTTGGGTACATTGCCCCCTCAATGTCCCAATAAATCTTGCAAGTACTGTAAGAAACGCGGAAATATCATCAAAGAAAGTCCTATTCAACCTCCAAAACCTGTTTCACGAGCTCTGCAAGCTGTTAATGTTCCAACTATTGATCCTAGCCTCTCATCCATTGCTGACTCGTCTGCTTCAGCTGCTCTGATGTCTCAGGGTACACCTATCCATCCCTCTTTAACGCCTGAAATGGTCCAACAAATGATTTTATCTGCCTTTTCTACACTTGGACTGCAAGGTAAACACCTATCCTCATGTCCTTGGTTCTTGGACTCTGGTGCTTCAAATCTCATGACTAATTCAACCACGAACCTTAGTAATGTTCGTCCATATACTGGTTCATCTCTAAATCAAACGGCAAATGGCCAACATCTGCCTATTAAAGCTATTGGTGATATCAATTCCTCTATTAAGGATGTGTTTGTTTGTCCAAAACTCTACTAATTTGGTTTCTGTAGGCCAATTAATCAACCAAAAATGTGATGTTCACTTTAGATTTGATGGCTGTTACGTGCAGGAGCAGGAAATGGGACAATTGATGGCAAAGGGGCTTAGAGTTGGACGTCTTTTTCCGTTACACCTTTTTCCTTCGAGTGCAACATTGTCTTCACCTTTATTTTCTCTTGCTTGTAAAGTGTGTGTCCGAAGAGGCACCATTCATAATCATCTTCGTCTCTCACAGAACAAAGGTTTATAAAGCTAGCAAAATCTTCAATGCCGCATTCCTTTTCAACATTACTGCATCTGGAATTTCCATGCCTGATGATGATGGAGTGGAAATGATGTGACCAGAAATAAATTCTATACACTATCAAGGTTTGGTGTTATTTTTTTCTTGTATGTTGCAAATTTTTGAAACTCTACTTCAGGAGGAAATCAAAGATAGAAAAATAGTGCCAAAGACTATCATATTTATAATTAAATTTGTCCGCATTAATAGGGAAAAGGATACATTTTTAGATATGTTAGTTCAACATCATATCAAGCACACGGTGGTCATGAGTTTAAGTCTCACCATCGCTTATTTATGAAAATTGTGCAAGTGTAAAGTAATTGATAAACAATAGAATCTGCCATGCATGTGGAGGCATGTTGAAGACATAGTCTAATGAAATAATGCTTTCTCCTCTCTAATAGTTTGAGCTTTTAGATGAAGCGAATACTAAAACTACATCCATACAGATTGCGTACATTGACTAGTACATAGACAAGTTATGAATTACCTGGTAATGGCTCCCTTAAGTGTGGTCATTCCAAGTAGAAACCTGTGTTGTTTGCATATAAATTTGGTTAATGGTTATCTTGAACTTAATATTGCCAGTACTCATGTATACCTTCCATGGCCTTTTTCTCATACTTCTCAAAGGAATAAAAGATGTTCTTTCCGACTGCAACAATCATTAAATATTATACGCTCAATGCAGGTCATAGTGGCATAATTAATTTTGATATCGAAATGACACATGAGGGACATGGGCTGAAATCTGATTAGTTTGAGACATGTACCATGATCTTTTCTTTTAGTTCAGTTATTGATTTTTGGTTATAAATTTTTTCACCTTATATCTAGAATTATATATTTCTTATTTCTGCTTGAAGTGCTCTTTCTTTGAGGATGGCTTTTGGTCACCTGTATATCCAATCACTCTTAACAACTTCAGCATTATGATGATTAATCGATCATTGAATATGAGGTGATTGTAGTTAATTTAGTTATCAAATGATCAATTATCTATTCTGTTGTATTATTGTTCCTGTCTGTTGTTCAAGTTGGTACATCATATATTCTACTATTATAGTCAATTAAATATGTTATACGTCTAATTTTCATTTTGCTTGAATCTGTATGATTTCTATTTATTTATTTTATTTTTTGGCATATCCAATTTATGTCTGATACAACATATATCGACACTGATCTGTTACTTGTGAGTTGTTTCTACAAAAAGGTTAAGTCTCAAACGAATGTTCTGCATTTTCACACTAACATTCTTTTAGAATTATGAGTTTGAATCTTCATTCCTGTAGATAAGTTGTGTTCCTTTTTTCAAGAATGAATTTACGGTAGTTATATTGGACGGGGTTTTGGACTACGACTAGAATTTTTTGCCTGGCAAATGACTATTTGGTTTGCCTGTGTTAAGGGAATATATTGAGAAGACACTACAAATTGAAATGGTGCATTCTAATATTATTTTTGGCACAGAAAGATTCTATGTGACCAATGGATCAAATAATTATAATTATTCTGGTAGTTGCTCATGATTTCACATATTTTCAACTTTAAGCATAATAGATTTTGAGACAACGTGATAGTAGATTAGCTTAATTACTCCAAGTGTACAGTGAAATGAGATACCATTAAGCTGGTGGGTTGTGACTCTTTTCCTATTGGACAGCTGTAATTAATTAAGTGATTGGACTCTTCAAGGATCTGGGCACATAAACAATCCATTTGTGGCTTGTCTCATTAGGTACTTGATATATTGAATAAGAACAAGAAAATACTAAAATTAAGGAAATTGTACAGCAGATGCAACTGGTTGATGTGTGCTACTTTTCGTTTAAGTAAAAGTCATATTCTTGAAACAGGAATATTTTAATATGCACTTTGATATTTTCTTCTTGTTTATTCTATGTGAGAATCATGTGAAGATTTATTTAACTACAATACTGTGAACTGTCTTCCTTCTTTTCTCATGCAGTTGGCGCGTTGTGACTGGTAACAACAAGAACCAGGGGCGGACCTATTAAGGGTCTAGTGGGGGCAGTCGCCCCCACTGAAATTTCAAATAGCTTCAGAAAAAATTAGCAACGAACATTGGGTGTTTGATCTAGTGGTATATATCTTGCTGTGGTTGCAGGAAGTCTTGGGTTCAATTCTTAGGATGGCTTTTTTATTATTCTTCTTGTTTTTTGTTTTTGGCTCTTTTTCTCTTTTAATTTTTTGTATCAATTCCATCATACCACAAAAATGATTGAATAAAATTGATATAGTTGTATTCCAATTAATTTTTCTGTTCTTGTAAAATCACAAAAGGTCGACAAAAAATAAAACAAAAAAGAACATACATAAAATGTTGTCTTTGAAGAAAAACAACTGTGAAAATTTAGGGACATTCCAAAGTGATTCTCCACCAGGCATCACCAACTTCGTCCGGACTTGAAACATTGAAAAAATGCTTTCACAATTTATTTTAGCTCATTTTCTTGTCTCGCCCCCACTGAAAAATTATCTTGGGTCCGCCCCTGACAAGAACTCGGGCTTTAAGCTTTTAAGCAAAGGAAAATTATCTGTCCGAGGTTGTTAAATTGTCTGAATTAAGCAATTTTATTTTTTATGCCCATAACTACGATGAATTGGCGTGCTTAAATATAATTTGTTCTCAATTATCCTATTTGTACATCACTTTTTTCACATCAATTTTCACACTTCTCTCACAAAGGTGGGGTCCATGATTATTTTAATCGTTGGACCCCACCCACTTGCATATGTGTGTGCTATGAAAATTGATGTGAAAAAAAAAATTTACAAGCAGAATGGTCCGTTTGTTCTAGTTTTGGCATCTTAATCTCCTCAAATCTGTTATGCTCATAAAATAATATCATTTATGACGGTTACATAGTAATCTGTCAATAATTTAATATGCGTATGTATGATACTTGAATTTTTTGTTAGTTGTGCAAGCAAGATATGATATCTATCGAATTTTGGCATTTTATTAGGCACATTCAGTTACATATAATGGATGCTTATTCTTCATGCATTAAAAATGATTTCCATCAGCTGAAAATAATTCATAATTCTTCCTTGTACATAGCTAATTAGAGGTGTCAAAATCGATGTGGTCCCCATTTTTTTAAATTTTTCCTTCATGTTTTTTAAATAGATATGGCTCCTTTTTGGTGTAGATTAAAATCAAATTTTCAATAAATTTTGATGAAATATGTGGTTAAATTAATTGTTGATTTTTGACTTGAGATTTTGATTTAATTTTAATGTACACCAAATAGGGATTTCGTAATTTTTTAAGTGAAAAAGCAGCTTCCATTGGTTGGGTTAAGTGGGATAGTGAAGAGCCAACATCAACTAGCAAAACCTTTTTTGTCGAGGTGAGCTATTGGAGAAGATCAATATATTATATAAAAAGTAACGTTCACCGGTTGAGCGTCGACTCTTCAGTTGCATTGCTAAACGATTGTACGAGTGAAAATATTAAAGCATTGGAAAGTAACAAATAAAGTAGAAGTTGAAACGAGAATTAAGATAGTGCATCTAGGTAGACATATCGAGTGAGCAAGGTATGACATTCCTAGAGATATGTTAAGACGATTTTTCTAAACGGAGAGAATAGCTCATGCAAGAATTTTGGACTAAAAATGTATTTTGTTCCTTTTATTATTTGATTGGAAGTTTATTATGCCAAAGGCTGGTAGATTTTGATGGATGGTACGATTTAGGCGTGATTTTTATGACTTAGTTGACATTATTATAACTAACGCACCTTATAGTAATGATATTGATTCATATCATTATTACACTCGACTAGGATTGTCCACAATCACATTATTTTTTGGGTAAAAAATTAACAGAATTTGTGAGATGAGTAGCAAAAATTAGACTATCGAATTCAAAAAAAATAAAAAATAAAAAAAATCATAAATTAAATAGTCAAATTAGAATTGGATCACAAACAAGAAAATATATTTGGTTGCAACTCTACTAAATATAATACATTTAGTGTTTTAATTGAAAATTTTTCATGGTTCGGAAGTAAATTGTCTTGTTCTTTGATACACTGCTAGTGTCCGATGAGCCGGCAACCACATAAATCAAAGCCTTGGAAATATTATTATTATTATTATTAATTAAGTATTTGATTAATAAATTATGGTTATAATTTTAATTAAGATTCACAGTTCATTTGTCAACATAGTCTAGGTCCAGGAAATATAAATGCAAAGTTGTTTTCCGTATTTGAAGCGTCGATGTGTGTTTGGGAGACGATAAAATTGCTTATAACTAAAATGTAAATATGTGGTTAAAGTTAGTACTTAATCTTTTTAAGTTGTCTTAGAGAATGCTCTAATTCAATTATGGAAAGTCAAAATATTTCATTTAGATTTTCAACATGCTCAAAGAAGAAACATGAAAGATGTGGTTAATATTGTTGGTTATTAAAATTAAATTTTTTAATAGATTATGATAGAAATTTTTGAAATATGTAATTAAAAAATTGTAAAATTCATGAAAGATTTAATTAATATTAATTGTTTGATTTTAATTAAAATTAAAATTAATTTTTAATCATTTCCAAACATGCTCTAAAGTTATAGCCCAATAATATGCATAGTTTAAGGAAAGTACAATTTGAATTTGGTTAGGTTAGGGTAGGGTAGGGGGTACAGTACGAGGTTGGTTTCTAGGGAGGAGGGGACGTGGATGCTTTATCTCCATTCGTACTATGCTTTTTATTTTGTCTTTTAGCTGACCTTTCCTTTTTCTACAATTATTCTTATAGACAGATATTTTCTTTTTTTTAGTATTATATTTTCCATCTCACTTTAATTATTGCCTTTATGTTCAAACTTTGGAGTGGGAAAGCATTGGAGACCCATTTAACCAAATATATCATCATTCAATTTCTACGTGTTTTTAGTTGTGTGGGGCGTGGCGTGGGGTGTTGGGGTGGGGTGCGTGCGTGGGGTGGTCTAGTCCAGATTAGTCCTATCATGAAATGTGAAAAGATTCCATGTGTAGAACCAACAAGAAGTATTTAATTTTTTCTTGCCAAAATATGAAAATTGATTTTTGAAGTAATCGGAACCATCGGATGGGATTGATAACACCCGAACCCATGTATCCAAACCGTTGATGTTCCAAAGTTGGTGGAGAAGTGAATGTGGCAGGTAAGTACTTGGTGGAGGATGGACCAAAAATATAGCATTTCAGTGTTGGTGGTCACGGGTCGGGTCACAATCAGAGGTGGTGTGAATTGATTGGATGCCGGGTAGTTGAGGTTACTAGATTTGGAAAGCAAAACTAGGAGTAAAAGGTGAGTTTTAAGGTAGGGACAATTACCCCATTTTGGTCATCCATATATTGGAATAATGGCAAGGTGGTTCTCGATCATTAAAGAGGGGCAAATTGATATTCTACTCTTTGTGAAGTTAGATTTTATTTTCCAACTTGGCTCGAATCCTATAAATTTGAACCCACATATGTTTCCATGATAGTCACGTAATGATTTAATAAATCCCGAATGGTTTTGTTTTAGTTACATATGGGATCGATAAAATAGAGATTTTTCGATCAAATTTAGTTAGTTTAGGCTCTCGCTCGAAACTCATGAAATCCCACGTTAGGATGAAATCACAAGAGATGATTTTGTGAAATATCTTCATACCTCCTGTTTAGTGATAGGCGAACTTTGTCTTTTGTTACATTTGCTGGATTTGAGACCGAATCCCTCCTAAATTTGTACTTTTATTATTTGTTACGAATAAAAATTGCCACCACATGCGATTTAAAAAGAAAAGATTAAAGCCCGGACTTTTAAAAAGACGAGGCCAATATGCTAAATAAAAAAAGGGGAATTTACACAAATGTCACTAAAATTGAAAATGCAAAAAAAATTTGGACATTCACCAATTTCTTCCAAGAATGTCAATTTTTCCCTACAAAATGTCCACTTTACCCTTTAACACCTTTTTGGAGCAATAAATGCTTGATTTGAATGCAATTAATGTTATAATGTGATTAATTTATTTTTGCTTTAAATTTAATATTGAAGATATGATATTATATTGTATAATAAGATTTTTTTTGATTAAAAAAGGGGTGAAATCTTTACAAAATACACATACACACACGAATTGAAAGAGCTTCTTCTTCTTCATCGTCTCCATTCCATCATCAACAAGGAAACAAGGAAAGCCATTGACAAATTTGAAAGGTAAGGTAGTAGAAAAAAGTTCATCTCATGTCATAGTTGACTACTTTAAATGTTCAATACAATATGATCATATTTAAATGAACCCTTTCAATCTCTTATTCATTGATGTAGTAAATTTTTGGTATATTTTAGAAATAAAAATTATACCAATATTATATAGAAAATGTGAAGTATTCCATATATAATTCAACATTTAATGAAGCATTAAGTGATATCTTGTTCATTTCTAAAAAGATACAGTGATATTGTAGTTCAGAATTTATTATGGCCTTTATCGTTTTCAATAAATTCGTCAAACAGTGAAGCACATGGAATTTATCTTTCTCGAAAGTTATGGCAGTAGAACTGTCGAGTGGTATCTTGGAAACTGTCGGGTTAGACATTTTAACTGTTGAGCTCGACATTTACTAACTGTCGGGATAGAAAATGTAATTGTCGATTTCGACAGCTGAAAACTGATCATCTTTTATATCTTTGGTAGTACATGGATGTAAGTATTTTCGTGTGCCAATTTGATGTTATGAAATGTCGACATATGAATCTGCAGAATTCTCACTTTTGCAATCCTAACATTTCAGGTATGAGTCATGATTTCAGATTCATCGTGTCGTATGGAGGAAACTTCGTCCACTCAGATGATGAATGGAAGTGGAGAGGGGACAAAACCACTTCCATTTTAGTGTCGAGAAGTATTACCGTAGCAGAACTTCTGTTACGATTGAAGGAGAAACTTGGTATCGTTGAATCCTGCAATGCAATCGAATTGAAGTTCAAAGTCCCGAACTTGAATCTATCTCCGGCAGAGATACGCGACGATGAGGATCTACAGTGGTACATATCTGTTCATAAGGAAACTGCACTCTGCATCACATATTTGGTATTCGAGCTCCCAATTGTTGGTATAGCAACAGATGCAAACTGTGAAGGGAGCTTGTTCGGCCCAACGGAATGTCCACCGAATGTACAACATGACGAGATGAATCATCAGCACAGTGTGTCGCAAACCGAACGACCCGAACCTCCAATTGAGCGTATAGAGGCTGCAGCATCCGCCGAACACTTAGAGAACCCATTACATGGTACAGATCGTGCTTTTATTGCTGAAATAGACGAGACAATGTCATCAAATTCCAGACGTTCGTGCACAGATGAGTGGATTACAGCTGCAAATACATCGGTTCTCGCCGAGAAGCAAA